AAAGATACAGGGTGAATTTTTCCCTAAAAAGTAAAATTATGGTTGAATATATGCCGAGCAATTTAAGCTATCTTTATAAACCATTTGAGGTATGTTTTTAATTAATTTTAATATGCGTTAATGCGTTTGAAGGTCCATCAAAATGCTAAGGATAACCATATCGGTCTAGGCGATATGTGCATCTACCAAGAAGTAAATAAGCAACGGATTTAGCGTGAATGTGAACAAGCACATCTGCAGCGATCAGCTCCCGAAATCTATCACGTAATAAAAAACAACAACTGGTACAACGACGAGTAAAACGGAGACTTAAAAAATCAATTTAATGATGTTATATATTGGCGAGGTAAAAGCGAGCTATAAAGTTCTACACAGTATATCGATATATTTAATAAGCATATATGGATTAGCATATATCTCTCAGCAGTGGCAGCTGTGTATACCAGATACATTCCCTGAATTGATACGCAGGTAGCTGTTGTAGTAAAGTTTGTAGATGTGTGCAAACAGGGATTATCCTATCACCTAACATACACTGTTATCCCCCACACAACTGCTTGGCGCAAAGCCTTTCCCTGACCCGTAACATATTGTATACAAGTAAACTTTAAGAGTTGTCCTTCGCCAATGACATGCTTGTCATGTTTACCACAAGGCCGGGCTATAAATTGAAGGGTTGATAGTGACATAAGCCTTTAATAGAAACACTTCGACAGGAGAGCAATCATGAGAGCTGTGGTCTTCTTGCTATGTCTGGGCGTAGCCCTGGCCCACGAGAGAGGCAATTTCGAACATATCATTGAGATCAACCGAGGTGAGTATAATGTGAAAGAGTTCCTGAGACAGATGACGTTCGATGGAAAATATAAACGCACTGGAATCGTAACGTTATCGAACTGTCATTCTGTTTCTATAACCCCGTGACGTTACTTTTCAGAGGCCGGCCATGGCGATCTGTTTGAAGGTGACATCAAGGTTCCAGTGGTGAGCATATTCAATTACTAATGGGAAAACCCGGTGTTGCCTGAGTTGCCTTCGCGACCAAAATATTATGTGTTTATGTTTCAAATGAAAGTAAAGAATAACAAGTGCTAATTAAATAATGCATAAGTGGTAAATTAGAAGTGCGTTTAATAATAACGTGACATAACCATATCATCAATCATCATCGCAAATCACATCAATATACATCACACAACAATAATCAACATAATCATATATATGGTGACCCGGGTGGCTGAAATCTGTTAGCTGATTGGCTTATTCTGTTTTCCATGTTTCTACAAATCCTGTCATCGTAAACAAAAACATCTTTAGCCTAAAACCTGGCTGGGTATCGTTAAAGAATACAACACTGCTGCTTCGTATAAGAATACATACGGCACCCATGTGTAGACATTATACTATAGATTACGATCCACGTTTTTTATCATCACTTATAAAGTGATAATGAAGTCAAGACTTAATTTTATATTGTATAATGTATTTTCTTATATTAACATTAAGCTTCCTGCGACTAGTAGTAGTATATAAAATTATGTACATTGTCCGTAGTCCCGTCCTGTGGTGTAAGTGTGTAAGATTATCAAAACATATAGATAAGATATCAGATAAGGTACCGCGTATATTACTGCATGAATGAAATGGTATGAAATGAACGCACTTGATAATCGTGGAGACTTTCCTGTTTTTAAGGGAGGCGATTTACGAAGCGGTATCAAAGGGGAATATTACAGGTGGCCAAACGCAAGAATACCGTACGTGCTTGATTATGACTTGTGTGAGTATATGCTCAGTAATCGGATTCGGATTAGGAGACATTCGCAATTGCGCTCATGTGCATACATATTCCATTGCATTGTTTTTTTTTATATCAAATAAATGGATGAATATATAGACGTAACCAATACATATACGAATCCAAGCTCATCCCAATACGATGTTATAACGTACATTCCGGTGGTGTTATTAGTAAGAGTGGTACATGTACGGTACATGAAGGTACATGAAGGTACATGAAAGTAAGTACATGTAAGTTTCCTGCTGTTGTAGGGGATATACCGTGCGAGGATAACCCAATGTACGAAGAGACCAAGTGCAGCGAGTGGGCCTCGTGGGGGCAGTGTGAAGACAACCCTGATTTCATGTGGTACTACTGCAGAATGACTTGCGGCAAATGCGACTGTAGGTATCGCAGAGTGTGTAGCAATAATTATCTCTAGCACTTCGTCTACTGGCGCAACATCAGTTAGGATGTTTCTGCGCTATAGCCCTACATATAATTTCTACCACTTTCTTCAACATGTTTTCTTTACGCTAAAGTTAAGGCGTAGACGAAATGAATCGCAGGGCTGCAGGATTCTTTCGCAATTCTTCCTCTCGATAAGAAAGAACACTTGCTTCCGCTGCGTTCCGCTATGCAATCATGTCAATCGGTTTCCTACATCTGGAACATAGTCTAGCTCTGCGTGGCTGAAACGTACGTTTATGTTGCTTGCGCCAGGGTTCCCTACCGTAGATGCAATCTACGCAGCGTTCGATCAATACAACGAGCACACGTGCATCCGCTGGGTGCCGAGGACTACAGAGACAGACTACGCTCACATATCACGTAGTTACGGCGGGTATGTGTATACACGTGTAGAATTCTTATACCCATTCTGTAACGTGATTCATACTCCGCGCCCATCTTATATAGAACGATGGCAACATATATCCTGTCATTAATACTAACCGCAAGTGATACAACGATACATCGATCGCTCTCACTGACAGCAAAAATGCCTCTGTGTACACGGGCAGCAGGAGACACGAAGAAACAATTTCGAAGCGTTGTATTGTCACGCACACACGTACACATTTCATACATTTCCTTCTTCGCAGGTGTTGGTCTTACGTCGGTAGACTAGGTGGCAAGCAGGACCTCTCCTTGGGCGAAGGCTGTGAGTCCACGAAAACAGCAGTGCATGAGATGATGCATTGTGCCGGATTCTATCACACACAGTCACGCACCGACCGTGACTACTACGTGAACATTTACGAAGAGAACATGTATGAAGGTGAGATACGAGTCATAACTAGCTTCCGCTGAAGGTTAAGACTGCTAAATCGAAAATCATGCTTATCCACTAACTACATAATAATGATTATCTATTTATAGCACACATTATTTATATACCACGAGTACTCTAATTGCTAGATACTGGTGTTCCTTTCACGGAGGTTTAGCAGGTAGGCATTCGATCCTCGGTGTCGCGATTCGTAACAGTAAAGATCTTATACACCGGCACACCCGCCGTAGATCTCGTCCATAGATCTATGATCATCTACTATTATACAATTTATGTATTATATACTGCACTATAATATCAAGAGTGTATAATAGAGTCTATTATCATACACTCCTGATAATATACTACTATATACGTACTATAGTATATGTACAGTAATATTACTATATACATGTACTCATTACAATGTATATAGTAGATACCAAGATACGTATCTATCAGGAGTAGATAATAGGGAATCCCCTATTTCTCTAATTCTCTAATTTCCTATTATCTACTCCTGGTATCTATATATGTGCGCCCCATGTTAAAATTATGTCCCACGCGCGACACTAGCGCCGTCCAACGGCGAGATAGTATCTGCAGGTTACCAGCCGATGGATAACAACACTAGAAGGTTGGGGGAGTTAATCGTAAATACTTTTACTGCGCGATCTTTCCCTCAACAGTGTTTTACTACTTGCAGGAACAGAGTACAACTTCGCCAAGTACACCGCGGATCAGGTCGACCTGTATGGATACTACGACTTGTACTCGATCATGCATTACGACTGCTACTCCTTCTCTAAGAACAACGAACCGACCATCACCGCCAAGAATGATCCTTCCTGTAACACACCACTGGGACAGCCCTACGTAGGCGGTGGTTTCAGGCAGTCCGACATTGACAAGCTGAACTCTATGTACAACTGTTAGTAATAACATGCTGGACGCCGATTTGACATTCCCACAATCACTGTTATACTGACTCAGAAGAGTATTGTAATAATCTTCGTTAAATAATTCACATTCACGACAATTCCTTCGTAATATCTTGGTAATTAATCTCTAAGATTATTACATTTTAATAATCAATCCAGTCTATTTAAATCATCTGTCGATCTTAATGCCCTCGTAAGTTTTTTGGAGAAATTAATGGTGTCAATATATTGAATAAATTTACAATTAGCAGCAAGTGATTTTTGTAATATGTTGTATATTGTTTTTACAATACATAGCACTAGGTAGGTAATATCTTGGTAATTAATCTCTAAGATTCGATAAGCTGAACGAGATGTTTATGATGATAACCCATGATGTTTCTAACACGAGTAATAATCACCTGCATTTGAACATATTTATTCTCAGTGAAACGCATTTTAAAGTTAATTAATTCAAGTTTGAAAGTAATTAATTTAAGTTTAACGTTCGAAAATCGGGAGTGTACAAAAGGTTAGCCAGCGTACTTGATAATTGCGTGCGCACATATTATGACTCGTTGCGTTCGCAAGACTCAGATTTACATCTGACGAATTAACAATATAATATACGAATATCAAATCACGATAATAAGTAGCAATGTTATTTTTTGCCTAATTTATTTAAAAAATTAACGTCGGCAAATGCTGTAGTTGCATAAAAGCAAAATCTTAAAAATAAATAAAATACAGCGCATATATTCTTTGATAAATGACATCACAGACGCAGACGAAACAACCACTATATCGGTTTCGCCATTTAATTGTCTTAATCAGCACACGATGGCTAGTTTATATCCACTTTGTATTACTTCACAAGTCATGTTAGAAGATTACGTGTAACGTGCGCGAAATATTTTAGTAGTACTTCTTACGGTAATGTTACGAAATATTACTTAAATTTAATTTCTGAACTCTACTTAAACTTCTTACGGTAATGT